GAATAAGCAGAAACATTCAGGAGTATCCACGATTTGCTGTGCTGTATCTTATCTCGGGTAGTCCCTTCTTCAGTATTCTGCTGGGTGGAGACTCCAGCAAAGGACAGGATCTGTAGTGGGGAGCTGGCTGGTTCCAGGCCAGGTCTGTGCCCGTGCTGGCTCCGAGGATGCTGCACCCCAACACCCCACAGCAGCGAGATTGCGTGGTGCCCTGTGCTGGGGCACAGCTGGGGCACAGCTGGCTGCCAGGGCCAGCAGCACTGGGCAGCACCTTCTCCCAGGAGATAGCACCTCGGGCTCCCAGGTTGCTGGGAAGCACGGCCATTGAAATTGGGATCAGTCATGAATTTTGTAAGAGTGGATTTGGAGTCGGGAGCAAAAGTCTGAAACACCATTTGTTTTACAGAAACATTGCTATGGTTAAATTGCTAAATAAAAATCACAGTAATAACTATTTCTTAAGAAGACATTCACTAAAAGTATATTTTTTGAAAACAGATATAAATAAATGTGTAAAAATCCACTGTAAATTACAGAATTTAAGTGCTGGCAGTACTGTGTTTTGATATGTAGAAAACAAGCCAGAGTTTGTTCATTTACAGATTACATGAAGTATTAGTATTTTTGAATGACTGTGAAGACTTTTAAATGTTGTTTTAATTCCTCAGATGTAAGATCTGAAAACCTGATGTGTTTTTTTGTTTGTTTTCCCCCACAGGATTTTGCACAGAGCTCAGGCCAAATGGAAAATCAGTTATCTCAGCAGAGGGGTACGTTCCCTGCAGTGTAACAGAGTAACAACTGGGTAGCAAAATGTGGAGATATTGTGATTTAAGTTCCTTGAATCAGCGTGGCTGAGGAGGAATACAGTAAATGTACAGTTTGGGGTGGGCTCCCTGCCTCACATCCTGACCTGCACATCCGTGTGTTCCACCCTGCTGCTCCTCTGTCGGGGATTCAGGCTGTTAATCTTTATTCAATGCTATGTGGTGTCGTGTCTTAAAATGTGATACTGTACCTGTACATATTTAATTAGCTGACACAAAGGCTGCCTTCAAAAGTTTTAGGTTGCAGAAGCTACACAGCCATGCCAATACACTCAGGGAGCCAAAAATCTCTAAAATACTGTCTGTAATTGTCCTTTAAAGTCTGTCAGTTTGCAGAAGAGTCGGGATTTTTTTTTTCCCCTCATCAGTTATTATAGATATTATTTTAAATGCAGTCAACCTTTCTAGGCTAAACATTTGAAAGATTCTCGGCTGAGATGGCTGTTACTTGCTAAACACATCTGAAATTCAAGTGTCGATGGGCATCTGGTCTTGAGAATTGTACATAAAATGTGACGCTCAGACAGTCATTTCTCCCTCCCCATAGGTAGAAATCCACCACCATTTCCTCAGCATTTGCTAGGAGATGAGTGGTTCTAGGTCTAAAGCATCAAGTTTTTGTTTAAAAATAAATTATAAAATGAAAGTAACTTTATGGACATTGTTACTGTCAACATCAGCCATCTCAGTCTGAAGCAGACTCGTGCAGTGTCTGCAGCACCAACTTTCCAGGATTGTATTTCCATGAGATTCTTCTCAAGAAACATCTAAAATCCAAGTAGAAAATTTGCTTTTTATTTTCACTATTCAAACTGGAGGAACTTTTAAACAAAAATGTGGTAACGTGTGAGTGTGATTTCTAAACATTCCCGAGTTGCAAGAAAGTTAACTTAGTAATAGTGTAGGCAGGATTATTTTTATCTCTTATATCACTTGAATGTGAAAGATGGTGTCCCCCCAAAAAATGGGAATAGTAACACTGATGGGAATAAAACCTGAAAGCACAAACTTCACAGCTGGGTGCTGCTGGAGGGTCAGACCCTCAAACCTGGCACAGTGCAGTCCTGTCCACGTCACTGCACACTCTCAGGAGTGAAAGCTGCATTTGTGCTCTGAGCTCTGGGCAGTCAGGAGCACAACTCTTCTGCAGCCCTTTGTAGTAAAAAAAAGAAACTGCTGAGCAGAAAATGAGGCTGCCCAGAGTGTAAGGAGGCTGAGTGGTGTGCCCAAGAACATGAAGTGTGCAAAGATGTAAAATGTTCCTCTGCACAGGGCAGAGAGCCTGAGCAGCTAACAAATGGAAGCCTTTGCTCATCAGAGCCTCTGCTCCCATTCTTAAAGGCAAGCATAGATGCCATGAGCTCCACAGAAGTGTCACCCCATGGTCTGAGGAGATTTGGATAGGGGGAGGGGAGTAAATCACTCAAATTGGCTGCACATTCATTATTCTTGTTTTACTGCCATCTTATCTTAAGAGGGAATAACTTGGTAATTTTATGTTCTTTCTTCAACAGAAAAATTTTTCAGTTCTCAAGATTATCTTGAGCTCTCCAACAGATTCCCCCGGCAGTCCTGGGAAGAAGCTCGACAGTTCTTCTTGAAAAAATAAGAGTTGTATTTAGCTTTTAAATCCCTAACATCGTCACACTGACCAGTTCCTGCTGACTACCTTCTTTAAAACGCTGTTCCAAAATGGTTTTGATACTCTAAATACTTATCCTATAGATATATAATTTGCACTATTTATATAAGTACTGTAGATACTTCCAAGTTCTGTTTTGTAATTTTGATAATTTGAGTTTATTTCGTTCTTGTATCCAATGTCATGATTTTGGTGTTTTCTGCCCTGTGGTGGGACTTGCACTGCAGAACTGCTGAAATAAGGTTGCAAACAGAGAAAATATGTTCTATATATCTTGTAATAAAATAACTTATTCTGTCTTGTGTGATTCCTGTGTTAAAATCATCAGTATGTTTGAGTTACCATAAGCAACACGGTTCAGAAAGAGAGAAAAAAACACTCCTAAGATGTTTTTCTCGGTAATCAAGAGTCAATCGCAATCAAATCAAAGTAATTCGTCAGATCTGGCCCCGGGGAAAGTTTGCTTATAATTTTTTGGGTGATTGAGGATACGTCACCTAGGACAGATATTTTAGAGCTCATGCATTTTTAACGTCTCGCTTGGACTCGAGCGGGGCCCGCGGAGCCCTCTCGGCTCCGTGCGCGGCGGGGGCTCCGCGCGCCGGCTCCGCCCGGGGCCGCTCCCGCGCGCGGCGGCGCTGAGGGGGCGCGCGGAGGCGCTGAGGGGGCGCCCGGCGCCCCGGCTGAGCTGCGCCGGGGCCGCCGCCGATCCCGGCCCGCGGGCACCGGGAGCACGACCCGGGCAGGACGGGGACCGCGACCGGTGCCGGAGCGAGGACCAGCACCGTGATCGCCACCGGCAGCGGAACGGTCCCTTCTCGGCGGCCCCAGCGCCGCCCATAGCTGCCCGGCCCGGCCCGGCCGGGCCCGGCGCGGGCCTGAGGCGAGCCACGCGCCGAGCTCCAGCCCGGCCCCGGGAGAACGCGGCGAGCTCCAGCCCGACCCGGACGGAGCCAGGTAACGGCGGGGGCCTCGCGGCGAGGCTGGGAGGGCGGCAGGATGCCCATCCCCACCTGTCCCTAGCCGGGAGATTGCTCGTCCCGGCGGTGCAGAGCAGCCCCGGGCTGAGGCGGCCCCGCAGCCCGCGCCGCTCCGTGCCCCCCGACGGCAGCTCGCCCTGGGAGCCCGGTCCCTGCACCCCTCTCCGCAGTCTGTCGGGGTGGTGGAGCCGCCGCGGCGCCGCGCTGCCCATCCCCTGCAGCCCGGAGGGCTCCGGTAGGGCCCGGATCCCGCCCCGCTGCCCGGGGATGGGATAAGGGAGCGGCTCCCCGTGGCTTGAGCTTGGCCGGGCCTGCGGTCCCACGGGGAGCTGGCCCTGAGCAGTCCCGCGCGGGTAAGGGGGAGGGCGCGGGAGCTGGAGCGGCCCTGCCGCGCTCCCAGGTGATGCCAGAGGCAGATAAGGAGTCGCCGCCTGGGTCTGGACGGGGGGATGGAGGCGCGGGAAGGTAGGGCTCGCCTCGCCGCCCCGGGGGAGCGCCGCCGCCCAGCCCCGCCACCCCCGGGAGGAGGCGAGGCGGCCCCGCACCGCGGCAGGTGCGGACACGGCCGGGCGAGCCTGGGGGCTACTCCGAAAGGGAAACCTGCGCTCCGCCTCCCCGGCTATAAATAAGCGGCCCCGGTTCTGAAAGCCGATTAGCGCGGTGCGGTGAGACCGTGCGGGAGAAGCCGGCGCTGTGCCCGTCCCGACCCGCTCCGTTCCGCTCCCGATCCGTATGACCGCGCCGCTCCGCGCCTGGGGTGCCCCTTCGCCTCCCTTTCGCGATTTTTTTTAGTTCGTTTTTGGTTTTTTCGTTTAAAACCATTTTTGTTTTCTTTTTTTTTTTTTATTAAGTCCAAAATATTTAATCCCACTATTCAACCGCTGACTCTGACAATAAATAACAATAACTTACTTTTGATCGTTAAAGGCGCAAACAATCCGTCCTTCGTCCATTGATAACTTAACATTATTAGTACTGGTTTTCCCGTTAAAAAGTCTCGTTTCCGTGTCCCTTTTTTCCAGCGATCGTGGGGGTCGGGCAGCGTGGCCCGAGTGAGGCATCGGTGTGAGATGAGGCTGGACGGCGCGGCTCCGCGGAGGAAGGTCCAGGCCAGCTCCGCGGCCGCACGCCAGAGGAGTCTCTCCCCATTTTGTAGATTTTGTTTTTACTATTTATTTTTCCCTTTCAAAAAGGAAAGAAAAACCGTCCCCAGCTCAAACAGCGGGCGAGGAAGCCTGTCACCGTGCCGGGCTTCGGCGGGGAAATCCGAGTTTCTTTGGGGAAAAGAAACACCGAAATCCGCAGGGCAGGAAAAAACCAAACCAAAACCACGAAAAAACCAGGGCGGGGGCTCTCTCTCCGGTCTGGTGAAGGCAGCGAGGATCCCGGTGCTTTTTTGGCCGACAGTAACATATTTTTTGTTTGTTTTTAAATAAGAATAATTAAAAAACAAAGGCGTTTGTCCGGCGCTCTGGGAGCGGCCCGGGGCCGGGTGTCTCATGCAGGGAGCGCAGGCATGCGGAGGTCCCGCGGCGGGGCGGACCGGCCGCTTCACGTCTCGGCCGGGCTGGGTACCATGCTGTTGGGGGTGTCGGGGAGCTGGGAGGACAGCGAGGTCACGTCGCTGCCGGAGGAGGTGCCCAAGGAGCCGGACTCGGAGAAGGAGACCTGGGGGAGCAGCGGCGGTGAGGGCCTGGCGCGGTCGCCCCCTGCCCCGTCCCCCTCCCTCAGCACCCGGGCCCGGCGGGCCGGCATCTGCCCGTCCCCTGCGGCCCGACGGACGGCCCGGCGCGGCTCACCAGCTGCTGGAAGGCGGCGGGCTGCTCCAGGTCGCTCTGCAGGGCGAACTCGCTGAGCGCCTTCCAGGGCGGCTGGTAGGTCTGGACCTCCACGGCGGTGCCCTGCACGGCGCTCTCGTGGCGGATGGGGCTGCCGGCCACGAGCGGAGTCCCGGTGAGGCCCTGCAGGCTCTGCGGGCACACGGGGATTCAGCGCGACTGCCGCCCGAGCCCCCCACCCACATCTCCCTCCCCGCCGGGGAGGGCGGGCGCTCACCGTCTTGTCGCTGTGCTGCTGCTGCTGGAGCTGCTTCATGAGAATGGACTTTTTCTTGTCCTTGCAGCGCTTGTTCTGGAACCAGACGCGGATGACGCGGGGACTGAGTCCCGTCATTTCCACGAGCTGCTCCTTCATCAGGGCGTCGGGGCGCGGGTTGGCGGCGTAGCAGGTCCGCAGCGTGTGCAGCTGCTTCTCGTTCAGCACCGTCCGCACGCGGGTGGTCTTCTCCGCCGCCTTGTGCGCCGGCGGCCGCGGGGCGGGCGGCCGCCCGGGCACCGGCTCTGCGACGGGCGGGGAGGGCGCGCACCGTCAGCGCCGCCGCCCGCTCGCCCGCCGCAGCCCTCCCGACACCCTCCCCGCCCCGCCGCCCGCCCCGCCGGGGAGCCGGTACCTGCGAGGTGCGCGGCGGCGGCCGGCGGCAGCGCGGGGCTGCGCGGTCCGCGGGCGGCGGCGCCGTCGGGGGGCGGCCCGTGGTCGGCGCGGCAGAGCAGGTCGCGCTCCCGCAGGCAGAACTGGTCGCCGGGCAGGAGCTGGCGGCCGCAGGCGGCGCAGCGGAAGCACTCCAGGTGGTAGACGTGGTCGCGGGCGCGCATCACCAGGTCGCTGCTGCTGAACGCCGCCCGGCACTGGGCGCACTTGATGCCGAAGAGCCTGCGGGGACGCGACGCGCCGTCAGGGCCCGCGGCCGCACCGTCGGGACGGCTCCAGGCGGTGCCGCGGGGGCGGGCAGCGGCCCAGAGTCGGGCTTTCGTTGGGGGAAATTCGGGGAGTTTAAGGGGCTTTTGTGCTTTTCCGGGTCTAGGTTATTTTTTTGTCTAACGAGCGCCGGCGCATTCGGGGTCACCTGCTGTAATCCCGTTTGCAGTAGGCCTTGCCGTCGCGCAGGAAGCATGTGCAGGTCTCATCGAGGGGCTGCCCGCACTCGGCGCACTTGAGGCAGGCGACGTGCCACTCCAGGTCCGGCGACACCCGCAGCAGGAAGGGGTCCTGGATGCGGCCCCCGCAGCCCGCGCACAGGGCCAGCCCCGGCCGCCCTGCCGGGAGCGAGCGGGGTACGGTCAGAGCCAGCAGTGCCAGAGCAGAGGTCAGCAATTAGGGAAAAGCACTTTTTCTTTTTTACACTTCATCCTTTTTTCTTATTCTGATTTGTTTTGGTTTTTTTCCAAAATAGAAAGAAAGAGAAATAAAGACAGACACACGGACAGAAAGGATGGAAACATGAAAGGAGACAAATTAATACGGCCAGGAAAAAGGAAAAAAAAGAAAGAAAAAAAAAAAGACAGAAGCTTGAGCAAGGCAAATAAATGCAGAAAGACAGAGACGTAAAAGTAGAATTTTGGAAAAGGAAATAAAAGCAGAGATACAAAAACAATAAAACAACGGCTGAGGAAAACTTGAAAGAAATAAGGAAAGAAACAAAGAAAGAAGAAAGAAAAGAAAGAAGGAAAAAGAAATTAAAACAGAATGACGGAAGGAGATACAAAAGCATCGAAAACCCAGAGACGGTTAAAATGGGAATATGGACAAATTATAACCGTAAGAGACATGGAATCAAAGAGACAGAAAGAGAAATAAAACTAAACAAGAACAGAAAGAAAATAATTGTTTTTAAAAACGAAAAGAGGAATTTAAAAAAAGACAAACAAACACGAAAAAAATAAAGAAAGAAAAACGGTAACACGAGCAAAGAAAGAAAGAAATAAAGGAAGAGCAGAGGGCAGCAGAGAAAGAAATGGAAACAGTCGAAAGAAATGAGCTCAGCGGCGCGGACAGCAGAAAGGACAGAGGGGCCGGGAAGCGCTGGGCACGAACGGGAATAGCGGCACCGGAGTTGACGCGGGCCGAGTCCGCAGCCGTCCGCGCCCGCCGTGGGGCCGCGGCCCTTCCCGGCGCTGTCAGCGCGCCCGCGGGCCGCCAGTCCCCCCGACGGCAGCGGCGGCGCGGAGCTCGACCCGCGGGGTCCCGCGCCCGCCCGCCCGCCCTGGCCCCGCGTTTCGCTGAGCTGCGCGCACTTACTCTTGGAGGGCTCCCCCATGGCGCCCGGGAGCGGCCGCGGGAGGAGGATGTCCACCATGCGGGCGGCCCCCTGCGCACCGGCAGCGATGCGGGATGCGGAGCCGCCGCTCCACCACTACCCGCGCGGCGCGGGGCGGGGGCCGCGCCCGCCCCCCCGGGCCCGCCCCGCCGGGCCGCGCCGTGATGTCAGCGCGCAGAGGCGCTGACCTCACCGCGCGGCCCCCGGAGGCGATTGGCGGCCGCGGGGAGAGCCCGCGGATTGGCGGTGCCGAACAATGGGCGCGCGGCGGCCGCGGAGCGGGGCGCACGCCCCGCGGGACCCGGCCCGGAGCCGCACGACGCCGGCACTGACGGGACGCGCGGCCCCGCGCCCCGCGGGAGAAGCTGCCCCGCGCCCCGCGCCCCGGGCCGCCGCGGGACCCTCTCTGCCCCGCCCGCCGTGCTGCGCCTCGGCCCTGCGCGCACGGGGAACGGCGGCATCGGCAGCCCGAGGAGAAGGAGATGCATTGTAGCTTTTTTCCCTCCTCCGTTTTCCCTGTTATTCTTCTTGACTTTTAGTTGGCCTATTTTTTTCTCCTTTAATTTCCCTCTTCCTTCTCTTTCTCGTCTCTTTTGCATCTTATTTCGTTGTTCTTTCCCCCGCGTTTCGGCGTGCCGCTGGCAGGTGCCCGCAGGCGGGCTCGGCGGGACAGTTCCGGCGCTGCGCACAGGAGCATCTCCGCGGCAGACGGGAAGGGGCTGCGCGCTGGCCGCCGGCTCAACGCTGCGCACCCGCGGAGCAGTTCCCTGCTGAGACCCGTGTGAGGGAGAGCCGCCCCAACGGACCCGAACAGAACCGACCGCATCCTCGGGCGGCCGTCCCGGGCAGCAGCCCCGTGACGAGTTGAAATTAGAGGAGGAAAATAGTATTTTACCGCATTTTCATGCACCTGGTTCCATGCTGTTCCCGCAGCCGAACCTCTCCTGTTGCTTTTTTCTTCCTTCTGTTCTTTTTTCTTCCTTCTTTCCCCCCAGTCACCATGGGCTTCCCGTGCATTAGCAGAAAAATAGGGAAAGCACTTTTGTGGCCTTCGACTCAGTGTTAAATTCCCAAAGACTTTGCAACACAGCAACACGAGTGCCTCTTAAGGTCCAGGAAAGCTTAAATATGCTGGAATTGGGACTGCTGCTGTCTTGGGGCTTTGGTCCTTTCCTTCACCCCCATGCAATCACCTTTTTAATTTTATACGTGGAATTTGACAGACATTTGCCAACCTGTATGGCTTGGGGAGGACCTGGTGACTTTAGATGTTGGCTCAGGAAGGGCAGGCTGCGCTCATTTTCCTCAGAAGAGGGAGGCGGGATGGGTTTTCCAGCTGAAGCACTTGTCTCTTGTGCGAGTCAGGCACCCTGCAGGTATGAAGCCCCAGAAGCTGGGGAGGGGGAGAGGACTCTTTGGATAAAGTGCTTCACTATTTGACCCGCTCTCCCAGCCTGGTCACAGCCCCTGCTACCCTTTTGAGGGCCCCAAATGCTGAAAGCAACCTCTTAAATTTGTACTATAGCTGCGGGGGAAAGGAGGGTGGATAGCATTTGAAGCACCCGCTTCAGCTGGCACGCATGTCTCCAAGGGATTTTGGTACCCCTGCCTGCTCCTGCGTGTGCGAAGGGGCAGAGGGGCGGTGCAGCAGTGACATCCTCAGGGCAGGGTGAGCCCATGTGTTCCCTGCCTGTGTACCCTGCTGGGGGTTGTGGTCTGACTGCTGCCTGCCGCTAGCGTGGCTCGCTGGCCAGTGGCAGAGCTGGGTGCAGGGTGAGAGTTACGAAGGCAATTGGAAAAGTTTGGCCAGTTCTTCAAACTGAGGTCACCCTGAGGGATAGGGGATGGGAACCTCTGCAGCACTGTGGGGCACCACAGGTCCATGCCTGGGCACCTGCAGAAAAGAGGGTACAGGAAGGTGACTTCAGCCTGAGCCAGAATTCAGATTCCTGGGTGAGTCAGTATCTGCATGTGTTAACAATAAAATGCAAAAATGTCAGAGTGATAGGAGAATGAGACATGTCTGAGAATACAGCAGCTTGGCAGGGATGGTCTGTGTTGCATCACCCTTTTCCCACTCGAGGGCAGGATCCTGTCTTCTCTCCCAAACCTCCCACCAGTTTAGGAATTTGTAAAGTTACAGCTGAGCCAACCAAACTTTTCCAAACCTATGCAAAGCTGTGCTGCAGTCACACCTGTATCTGAACAGAGCAATGTGCTCACACCAGGCAGGTGTGATTGGACTGGACTCCCTTCACAACAAGGCAGGTAGGAACAGGGTAGCAGTGCTGCACAGGCAGTTTAGTAGAAAAGCCAAAAAAAGTACTTGCTAGAAAAGTGTTGAAAGCCCTGCACCTCCTCTATGTGAAATACAAAAAGCTTTAAAATGACTACAGGTAATGCCATGAGGCATTGAACCAGCTTGATACTGCATGTTTTACAAACAGGTTAATTGTTGGTTCATCTGAGGGAGGGTAAGGGAAAGCACATCATGAAATCATGGAATAATTCAGTCCAGGAGGCACCTCGGGACCATTGCATTCAGGTAACTTGGAAGTGCTGGAAGCATTTTCTGGTCAAAGCCAAGAGCAATCTCTCCTGCCACACTGATTCCTCCTTGCTCTCCTCCACCCAGTGCCCAGAGATTCCAGCCTCTTCTGCAGCAGCTCCAGTCGGGTTTGGTGTGGGAGCTGGCAGGGGCTGCTGCCCACGGGCTGAGGCTGCCTAAGGGTGCTCCCTGCTCTCTGCAGAGCAGCTCTGGGGTTTGCTCCCCAATAGATGTACAAGTTCCCTCTAGAAGGGGGAAACGGTAACAATTTTTTTTTGTTTGCAGCAGATTGCAAAGGCAGTAAATGCTGATTCTTTCAGAGCCAACCGTGGATTAAGTCCATTATAAAATTAAAACAGATGGAACGCAATTTCACTTACATTACAAAAAAGGACAGGAACCATCTGCAATAAGATTTAGCATTGCAAAGCTATTGTTATCATGTTACCATTAAAACCTTTGATGAAGAGTTTTCTTTCTTTCACAAACTTCTTCACATGAAACAAATGTTTCATTTATCTATCTTCCTAAGATAGTCATATTTTATTAAAAAGACGATGTCTCTCAAAAAACCTCCCTTGGTCCTAGCAGAATACGGCAAAACAAAGAAATGTTGTAAAACTCCAAGACTGAGACACTGGGAGCTTCAATGGAGAAGATGTAGCAAAATGAGAATTCCCTATCCATTTTCCTTTAAAAACATTTCCTTGTGTTTGGGCACAATGTCTGATACTGAAAATAGATAATTAATGAGATAATGGGATACTGCATGTCACCTCCTGTCCAATGGGATTATCTGATGGCTAATTATGGACAGATTGTGATTAATGTGATTATGGATTGGATATTAATCTGATTCTGGATTGATCTAGTTATGTTTTAGTCTGCTCCAAATGGTTAATTGGATCTGAGATAATAGAAATGCAGCTTGCACCAGATTTTGCCACATCAGTTGATGAAGTATCTTTTGATCTGGGTGGGTTGCGAACAATAAATTATTTACAGCTGTTGAGAAAATGACTCTTCCTTAGAATGTAGTCATTCATTTTATTTTCGAGAGCCTTTGAAAACAAAATCAATATCCTTTCTAAAAGGAGATGTTGACAAAAGAAAGGCACGTACATAACTCACAAACAAATGTGACGAAATTAAACAGTGGTTAACCCGGTGGCCTAATGTCTGGTGATGCATTTGAATTGCTATGTGGAGCTTTGGGCTCAATTCTTCTGAGACCAGCAGGGGTTGGGAGCATTGCAGGGGAACAGGGCCCAGTGCTGGGGAAAGTGGTGTTGCACAACAGCTACTGCCAGCCCTGCTAGTGATTAAGAGTCAGCCATGGTAACATGGCAAAGGGAGCCCTTGCCATTTTTCCCCTCCGGATAAGAAAGATTCAGAAAGTTCATGAGTGCAGAAAATACTTATTGGCCCATCTCCTCTGGTCTCCTTCATATCAGACCATGCAATTGGACACAGAATTATTCTTTTCTCCCTCAAAATGAGCCTGTTAATTTATGGTTGACCTCAGTCATCTGTTCCAGAGATGCATTTGGTCTTGGTGTCACCTGCCAGTGCAGGAGAGGCTGCCTTGCTCTCACATCCATCCATCCTACTTTCACTGGAATGGACACCTAAGTGTATAGTTTAGGTTCAGCCCCCAGACACTGGATCTCGTTATGCTGTTATCTGCAGCATTAAAGGCAATGGGTAAATTGCAGACTTTGTAGACTTCATCTTAGACTCTGTGACAGGGCAAGCAGGAGGTACATTAGCCTTTGTCACCAGGTGCTATAAGTGGCAGGTAACTCACCAGAAGGTTCTCCTCCCTAATGGGCTCTGCAATAAAAATATCAAAAATCAAGCAGGTTCCAAAACACTGAAAACAAGGCCTGCTGCAGCTCTGTGCTTACACAAAAGTGCTATTGACTGAGCTGAAACAGAAAGAAAAAAGGAAAAAGCAACTTTCCTTGAAAAGTCCTTAGAGGCAGGGAAAGAGTTTTTCCCCTGGAGTGACTGTTCCTGCTGCTGCAGGAATGGCTTGGGCTGGTGTGAGTGGGTATGCAGTGGCATCTGGATTCCTTACCAGCAGTGTAATGGCAAAAAACCACAGCTACCCCTTTAAAATATTGCTGGTAGAACCTGTCAGAGAATTTTACACATATCTATCATTAACAACAAGGTGAGCTGCATGGCAGAAGGAGGTTGGCAGGTCTTAAAACCCCATCCAGCTGTCTGCACTGGGAGGGCAGCAGAGCTCTTCTCACCAGCATTGTTTCTCTTGTCCTCCACAAACCACCAGCACTCCTAGGCAGGACAAGCTGCCTTCCAAGGTAACCTGAGCCTTTGCTTTCAGAAGGTTATGAGGGTCCCATCTTGCCTGTGAGCTTGGTAGAAAGGGTTTCTTGAACTTCTTGAGTGATCTTGTTAGGAATATGCAAACTGATGTTACTCCCAGGCTTCCTTCTTACTTGACTGGTACATGGAGATGATTAGC